AAAAAAAAAAATATATATATATATATATATATATGTGCTCTCACCAAAGGCCTTTTAAGCTTGTAGTCTTTTTCGTTCTTCAGCGTCTGCTCAAATTTAAACTTGCATTTCAGAGACATGTGCCATGTGTGCTATTTAGAATGATATTTGGGAAAAAATACACAAAATATACTGCATGAACAGAACCAAAAGTAGGACATAAGTAACCCTTCTACTTACATATCCATGTCTTTTATAAAGCAGTACCTCAGAGTCAGGCCCTTAGCAGTTTGAACATAGTCTTCATTAGCCAGAGAGCTACAGAAATATTTTAAACGCATGAGTACAGCTTTAAATGTTTAAAGCTGAATGTAAGTCCTTGGCACAGTTAATGAGGAATACTTACATATTGTAATGAGCCACGTTTTCATACAGTGTTCTAATAATTTTGCTCCAATGTGATGCTGAAAGTCTGCATTCCTTTCCAACTTAGCCTGAACATTAAAAGGAAACTTCAAAACCTTAAACTGCAGGACAAGCTGTTGATAGGCTGATATTACTATGGTAAAAAAGAGAAAGTAATAATTAAGCATTGTATACATAAATAGTACAAATGTCACATGCACATATGTCACATGTATACATACGATGGTTGCATACAGGTACTTACAGTGTACCTATAGTGTAGTTACCTAAGAAATTACTGGTAATATAAGGTAACTACATGGGGTAGGGTTAAGTTTAGGGGTAGTGTCAGGGTTAGTACCTAGTTATTACCTAGTTATTGTAATTACTATAATAAGTACATAGTATGTATATGAGAAACAGGACTGTAAAATAAAGTGCTACCCATAAAATAGTACAAATAATTACCAGTTATTAATCCTGAAAAGACAAATTATTACATAACAATGACACTATCATCAACATTTTACCAAGCAAGTTTTACTAGAAATATGTGCCTTAACCTTTTCTTGATCATATTGGTGGTCAATTGACCCTTCGCAGAGAGCTGCCCCCCTTAGTTACTGTTGCTTTGTGTGACATGTGCTACGTTCGCACATCATGTTCTCACGCAGTGAAAAATACATCGCGAAGCAAAGAGGACACTGACAATGCACCGACAGACAAGACAGAGCATGTTACTTTTGGTATGAAACAAATTTTCAGCTTTTAAATTTTGTAATTTTTTAAAGGAATTTCAAACAATAAATACCGCTTTGTGGCTCTTTAATGTGCGGTGACAGATCGCTGTAGCACCTCAGTTCAAGCAGCACATGAACGATCATCTCTTCCTCTTTTACAGCAGCTTATAGTGAACAAATTTTACAGACAAAATTGCGCGTCTTTTGCTGCTAATTATTTATTATATTCATATTATATTAATTATAATTATTTACCTTTCACATCTGATTGTACCTTTATGACTCTTTTGGGGTACATAATTGTACCCTAAGGACCCATTGTGGACCTTTAAATGTTTTTTTTTTTTTTAGTTTTTGTTTTTTTTCTGATATGGTGCAATAAACCTAGAAGGGTGAATGTATTTTAAGAGAAGGTACGAGGAGCTCATGAATGTGTAGATTGTCAGTAGTCGTCACGGTGGCCTTGTTCTTGTCTTCAGAATCTGTATGAATAACAGTGAAGAAAGAGATTGATTACAATAATTCTCTTATTGCTTTTTTTGGTGGTCTTTTACTGCATTCAGGGTTAGACCAAATTGGCCACATGTGCCTCCAATCATCCTGCATCAGGTGCTGGAAACTGCTTTGTGTGTGATTCTGAAGAGCCGCTGATTAGAGTGACAGCTCTGCTCTTTTTGTAATGTAAATGGAGAAAGCTGTGTGTTGCATGTTGCATTATTTTTGATACTGTTGCGACTTGGCTTGAAATAAAATCTTAATGAAGTGCCAAATTACCTGTGAAATATTCTCAGGACAACTCTTTTCCGAATCTAAATTGCATACATTTCCAAAACAGAAATCTGTATATTGGATAAAGCCAGGTTCAAAATTCTTCATTTTGTTGACTCATTAGAGTCAAACAGTGTATCTGAAGAGATTTTTGATTGTTATCACTCTATAAATCAGAAAATATTGTTAACAACAATACATACATACATACCCTGCTTTTAGGAATATAATCAGGACAAACATATGAACAAACCCCTCTGTATAAACCTTTACAATATATAAAGGAATTAAACTGGACTACTAAAGTGGAGATATGTGGCTGCAGACAAAAAAAAAAAAAACCTTTAAAGGTTTGTATTATAATTGAAATCTACAGATACAAATAGATTAAGTGCAATAAAATGCTTAAAAGTGTATTTTGCATGTTTTTTTCCCCACTAGTCTGAAAAAAAGAAACATTATGAAAAGCCAAGTAGACCAAAATCTCAAAACTGACTAGTGCATGTAAAAACATGTATGTTTTTGCCTGTAGTGTCTTGCCTTAAAAAGCCCACTTTAGATAAAGTTAATTAAAGGAAACAGACGCCCCACTTTATATTATGTCTTTAAATACTATCTACTTAATAATAAAATAACTAATTGTTAGGTACAATGTACCTATTGTGTTCATGTTGAATTGCAAAACACCTTTGCTGCTATTGAGGTGGGATAAGGGTAAGGTTAGGGGCAGGTTTGGTGGTATGGTTTGGTTTAAGGTGTATACATAGTTTCAACAGTAATTATAGGTGTAACTACATAAATTAATTACATATGTAATTACAGGACGGTATTTTGAAATACAAGTACAATGTGAAATCATGTATCTACATAGCAAGTGCATTGCATCAGATATTAATTTAAATGTAAGTGCATAGTGGTTAAGGACACTTGATATAATGTGGGTCCAAGTAGGCTTATAATTGCAATAATTTGTAAGTACATTAATTATGCATTTGTGGGCATAATGGATATCTGTCCCAGAATTATCATACATATTTATAAGTAGCGCATCATTCTATCAGGCAAATATGTAGAGAGAGTGAGAGAGATACTATAATGTTCTGAGCTCATGTTAGAATAAAGGTTCTGATTATTGTAGAAAAAACAGAGCTTGTGACTTGGTGTATTTCAAATGTTCATGTTAGATATTGTTAGTTTTCAGATTACTACTGTGTGCCAATACAGTGGATTTCAAAGGAACTGTGGAGGTTTTTCTCTAACAGCACGAACAATTGAAACGGACAAGTCACTTTCATGTCTCCTTACTTTTTTGGAACAACTGTCAAGTGATGAACAAAAAGTGTCCTTTTCAAAGTACAAAAAAGTGAGGCAGTGGTTGAATAAATGGATTTGGAGCAGCGTTCCTCGTTCAGGCGCCAGACTGCTGATCGGGTGAGTATGTGAAGTCTGTCTCAGTCTAGTCCCATTCCTCAGTGCCTGTCACAGGCAGCCAATACTCAGTCTCATCGCCATGATAGATTGCTGTATTATCACAGTGTGACACCCCACTACCAACCCCTCCATGCTGAAGAGAGCACCACAAAACACTTGAGTCAGCTTGATTGATCCTCTGATTTTTGTGGCTGGATACCTTGACAAAGTTTTTGACAGTTTTCCTATGTAAGGTCAGCATGTTTGAATCATTGGGCGCTTCGTTGAGGGGAAGCAGCCAGTTTATTGTCACAGTGTAACCATCAAACGATACTACAATACTTAAAGGTCAGGTTCATCTGAGGTGATTAAAGACTGCAGTCAATGGACCCCCTATAAGCTCTGTGCCAGTTTTATTGGATGAGGAATAGCGAAAGATTGATTTGTCCTGGGTACTTTATGATATGCCAGATCACTCTAGAGAGTGCAGCATGGATTGGTAATAGAAAAAAAAAAAAAAACTTTAAATGGAACACAATGAAATGCCTGGACAATGCAATTATATAAAACTCGACTAGAATACCAGATTACCTCATTAGAAAGAAAATAAAACAATAAACTAGTAAAACTATAGACTATTGAGTCTATTCGTGATCTCTTTTTCTTTCTTTCTTTCTTTCTTGTTTATGTATTTATTTTAAGACACACTGGTCTTTTTATGTTAACAAAAACTATTGTATATGTATATTTCTATGTATGTGGGAACCTCAGGTACAAGTATCCTTAAGTGACACCTGTGATAAGTCATGGCAATGTGACATTCAAATTTTAGCAGAGTCTTGCAGTTTATTAGATGGCAGTTGTTGTAACATTTTAGTTGAGGACAGCAACAGTGTTTAGCAGTCTGGAGAAATACATACTTTGAGCATTTTTCTGAGTGATTCGGCCAGCAATTATTTACATAATGACAAGACATGATGCCACAACCATTCAAAAGTCAAAAGTTGGGCTTCAGTTGGACTTTCAATTTTATTTATTTATTTTTTTTTTTTCTATTTTCATAACATTTTGAACTATTAGTCTTACGTTTAACCTGGGTCTCAGCTGTGTCTCACCTTGTCTGTTCAGTGAGGACGGGCACTCCATCTTGGTGAGGAATGGAGGTGTTTTAACGGGCAGCTCGTGCTTTGCATGTCTGCCGCCAACCCTCCTGCTCCCCTCACATCTGCCTTGCTCATCGCCATTGATTGCTTGATGCAACCAATAGGCGAGTTTTGCTGCTTTGATTTTTAATTCTGCACCAGCAACACATTTAAAAAACAGGGGTGTTCTCTCTCCCCTTTAACACATTACCTCTTTCTGGCATTGATTCGGAGCGGAAAAATAAGAAAAAAACACGCCATAAGCACAGGTTAGGGAATGAGAGTGCTGGCCTTGTCGACCAGAGGTCTTTGATCGTGCCTGAGCTAATGCCCACCTGCAGGAAAAGAGAAGACCCTTGTTCCCCCTGGAGCACAAACCAAAAAAACAGAGAAATACCTACCTGGCAGATGCTGTGCACTGACATATCATCCATCCAAACCAGCTCACACCTCCTTTTTTCATTTTCTGTATTTCTCACACTGCATAATTATCAACCGTTTTTCAACCCATTCTAAATAGAGGGGTGGGTGTTCCTCCTACCCTTGAGCTGGAGGGTGAAAATTGCATGTCTTTCAGAAGACCAGAGATGCACCAGAGCTAATCAAGCAAGAGGAGAACATAGTTGTGTTTCTGTCAATGTCATTCTGTATAAATAGTTTGGACATCAATGCGCAGGTCACATCATTATGCGCAAGGTGTTTCTGTACTAAATATCTGCTGAGATCAACTCTGATCTTGTTCTCAGTGCTTCATAGTTTCTCTTTTATTATTTGATAAGTTTAGATCACAGATACAACATCAATTTAAAATGTTTATCTTTCAAAACAGTCAAACTTATTTGTAGC